CCACATCCCCAGCCCCGCCCCTGTTTTATTTTATTTAGTACTGGGAAGTTGAACCCAGGGGTGCTTTACTACTAATTTCCTCTCCAGCCCTTTTTTTCAAATTTTCTGTTTTGAGACAGGGTCTATCTAAGTTGCTCAGACTGGCCTTGAATTTGCAATCTTCCTGCCACAGCCTCCTGAGTCCCAGATTACAGGCATGTACTCTCATTAGTCTTCAAAATATTCATTATTAATTAATTTTTAAAGTTGTTTTGGAAAGAGAGGGGGATTTTTTTTCTTGCCACATAATAGGGACAAGGAGATAGTTTGTCTGGATCCTGATTACTGAAGATGTACCAGGTCATGCTACAGTAGTGCTTCTGTGGCAAGGGTGGTGCTTGATGCTAGTTGTTCATTTACAGGTAGCTTTTGAAAATGGCTGCCTCTCATTTCACCGGGCTCACAGCTGTTGCTGATGTAATTAAAGATCTAGACACTCAGATAGCTGTAAGTAAGCTCCTTGAGGCCACTATGGGCAGAACTTGATGAATGTGCTTCTGATCCTGATGACACCAAAGCTGATGTCCACAGAGTCAACACCATGGCTCTAAGTTTTAGGAATTTCGGCTGCTTCGGGCTAGGATTTCTGCATGTACTTAGCATTGCTAACACAGAGAAAATTTGCTTTTTATGATAAAGAAGAGTTTACTTTGAAAAGTTCTAAAAATTGTGTTTATTTGACATAGCCCTGAATGGGCTCAAGCATGTTTTGAAATGCCAAAATGAACTAATCTGTTTTCTTGAACTTGGTGACTAAGTTTTAAGTATGTGATTGTGACATGACTTATTTGAATTTAACATTATTTGATACTTAAATAATAATGCATGTAGTACTTCATCAAGTAKTTTATTCAAAGTCCTCAAATGTCTTGCTTAATCTAATGTGTTTTTATATAAGATTCCTCATTTCATTTACTTTCTTCCTTATTTCAATTTTGTGGACTATTTCATTTAGCTTTTGGAGAAGAGATGGTTTCTAAATATCAGGTGAGAGCAATGAACATTCTTCATTTTCTCCTTTTTATGTGTAGGTATCAAATGGTCACCATCCCAGATATACTGAAGAGTCCTCAAAGCCTGACAGATTTCACATAATTTTACTTTCAAAACTTATTCTTTATTATAGGTGTTTCTAGCACTAATTCTCATGTTTTTCTTCTTCAGTTGATTGGCCTTGGTCCTCACAGCTCCAAAAAGAAACAGGATCTTGATAAGCTCTATGAGCTGAAGTCCAAAGCTCGGCAGATTATGAACCAGTTTGGCCCCTCAGCACTAATCAACCTCTCCAATTTCTCATCCATAAAACCGGAACCAGCCAGTACCCCTCCACAAGGCTCCATGGCTAATAGCACTACAGTGGTAAAAATTCCAGGCACTCCTGGGACAGGAGGTCGTCTTAGCCCTGAAAACAATCAGGTATCATCCCCTTACTTTTTCCTTTCTATAGT